TTAATGTTATCATTATCAGCCTGATAAGAAAATGTGGCCGATATAATAAAGCCAATAAATAATGGATTATTTCCTTCAGCTGAGACCCTTCAGATTTGCACTGTTCACAATGGTGATGGTTTATGAACTGCTATAAAATATGACAAGTGCAACATTAGGTCTGTCAGATAGGCTACAATACATCATTATAATCGTGTGTTTGGGACGTGGCTTTTAATGATGAGACTTTTGTTTTTGTAATCAGGCTCTCAAAATAATATACAACTTTGGATTTAGATTTATTGGCCAATATCGGTTATCGGCTTTCAAATATAAATGATTATTGGTTATCGGCCAAATTTATTTTATATCGGTGCATGGCTGCATGCCTAATATCTCGTAATAAGTTAACCTTAGTGGAACATATAGCGGATGAACACTACATTTCCCAGAATGCATAATTTGTGTTGAATTTCTTTGAATTACTTATATTTATTTAAATTCCAATTCAACTTCTCGTGTATTGTGGCCAATTCAATTTAAATTCACTCTAATTATTATTCAACCAATTCTTTCAAGCCAATTCTTCAATTCAACACTGCAATCCCCAATATGTAACATAACAGAAAAAAAGCATTTCTCAACTAATTTTGAGTATGTATGGTAGTACAGTCTACTAATTATTATACATATTTAAACAAGAAGAGTCATTTTTCTCTGTTCTTAAGATGAATGCATTGCTTTGTAAGTCGCTTTGGATATAAGAGTCAGCTAAATTAATGAATAAATGCTAAATCAGCTTAATATGCAAAGATACAACGAGTAACCGTTCCCAACTTGTGAGCCAATCTGAAGCTGAATCCACTGAAAAGTGCTCAACACAGCAACACTGACTCTGGTTTGAAAGCAACAAACCAGATAGCATTGGTGACAGATTTATTCAAAGCGCAACTCCAGTGAAGCACATAAACACGTTCCCTCTCGTGACTCAGGCGTGGGTAAAAATGATGCATGTAAAAACGCCTCGCCGCTGAAGGATCCGCGACAGTGTTTATGTGGGGGACGGGGTTTGTGCATCTTAAAGCGCCAATCTCAGGTGAGAGATAAATGACTCTAATTGTGTGTTCCTCCACAGGACTAATTCCCCCCCAATCACCCGAGTGATTAATCACAGAGCAAGAGAGCGTGAGCAAAGTTTGAACGCACAAACCGCATCTTGCTCCGCGGGCGTCTCTTACTCACCTAAGCCAATTTAGTCGACACAACGCAATGGGGAACCCCGAGGTGATGGGAAACAAATCACGTAAACATGCTACAGGTTATCGTAAAGCTATTGCATCTGAAGCTACAGCAGGGGGCTTCCGGAGAACCGTGCGCTTAATGAGACAGATCTATTATGTTCAGCCATCACCGGATTGCACTTTACCTCTGTATTTGAGGGCCCGAGACGCTTGCAATTTTTCACTTTAAATGTGCTTCAGAAACAGCGGGTGTCACGGCCCTAGGTTTGAAATTGTCCTGCTGAAAGATGAAATGTCTCCCGAGCTGTTGTACCTTTTTCTACTCGACTACTGGTATTGTGTAGCGCTCAGTCTTTGTTCTGTCCACGGAGTTGCCCAGGTGAAAAGCAGCTCCACACCGTAACGCTATATCACAGAGCTCATGATCGTGGTTGTTAAGATGTGGGAACTACCCATATCGCTTTGAGTTATCACACAAAAAAGGACATTTTTTGTCACCCTTCTTCCAGGTAAACTTTTACTTCATTCTACATAACCTTGTAACCCTTAAAAAGTCATTGCTGGTGACAATACGGCTTCTCTCGCAAGTTTCCTTCCCGTTCTAGAGCTTTCCAAGAACATTTTCTAGATGTGTGATTTGATAGTTTCCATATAAAGTCAACATGAAATCTGAAATCGATTGGATTTTCTTTCATAAAGGGATCACGTTGGATAGTTCACCCTAAAATAAAATAAAAATGTCATCATTTACTCACCCTCACGTCATTTTAAACCCGTTTGATTTCTTTCTTTTGTGGAACACAAAAGAAAATATTTTAAAGGATGTTTCAACTGTTTTTGCCCATAATAAGTCCAAAACAACATTGGACCCCATTGACTTTCACTATACGGACAAAAAACAGTGAAACATTCCTGAAAATATAACCTTTTGTAATCTGCAAAATAAGTAAGTCATAAGGGTTTGGAAAGAAAATATCCCTTTAATACATATTTACTGGTCTTCTTGTGCACGATTCATTGATGTATGCTATTCCAATAAATAAATACAATACAAACAAACGAACCAACATACACACAATGATAAAAACATGTAGTATATACGTACGTAAGAGGTTAAAAAACATTCACTGTGTAGTTGTACTGTTATGCCTTTGAAAGGCTCTTTAGTCTTCATTTTCACAGCTGTCATTCATATTCATATGAATAAATGAACCTTTATCTGGGAGTTTCTTCAGAACAAGGAAGTAGTTAATATAGTGATTTACTGGAGAATTTAATTAATCTCAGGTATGTACTTGCAGTACAAAGACTAAAATGTACATCACAAAGACTAAAATGCTTGTAAGCAGCATACTTCAATGCTCAAGATTTGTATTCTACATTAAATTTATATGTAATTTAAATAATTAAAATTGAGTTTCAATTCTTAAAATAATCACAACATTTTTTTTTTAAATTGTACTTCAAAATCCTGCAAAAAGAAGCAGTTTTGCACACCTGAGAATAAAATAAATTATATTTTAATAGTTAAATAACTTTTAAAAAAGAAAGGAACATTCATTCCTTTCTTTTTCCAAGGATGAAAATGGAAGACTACAAATGCCCTTCTTTCACACATCTGAAAAATGTAGTACAAAGGTAACTAGTTCTTTACAACAACAAAAAATCTCTAAGAGTCCTTAATCCCACATAACAGTCCTCATTCAGCGGCTCTATTGTCGAGCGAAGCCCTCAAGCCACGCAGAAAGAAGGATTGCACACAATTTCCCATGACATCTCCGAAAGCAAACAACCTTTTGTTGTTCTGTACATTTCACGGATGCCCAAAAAGATGGGGCGGAAAATGTTTAACAGCACTGGATCAACAAATAAACAGAGCTTCCACGACAAATAACAACTTAAAAAACTATTCTGCACAGAGATGAGAATTGGGGCGACAAAGCACATTATGTCACGATTTTAAAAAATACCCCCCCCCCCCAAAAAACGTAAATTTTTCAATTGTAGTCTTTTAAATAGGCATCTGAAATAATAAGCTAAGTGCAATCTGGTGTTGTCAGTAATATAGATTTTTTCGATACATATCGATACTATAAAACAGTATAATGGGTCCGTGAGTCAGGTCTTAAAGTGACAGCAGCCTAATATACCGGCTGCCAAATTATGAGATACCATTAAAGATATCTATATGCTATTATTCCTCTATGCTATCAGTGTCCAAATTGTGGCCAGTGAAAATCACTGGAAAACCACTAGCCACAGTGGCTGGTGAGCAAAAAAGTTACTCTCAAGCCCTGCATTGGCTATATAGCTCAGATTGTGACTAATGCCATTGAAAAGCAAATGTTAAATGTCTCTTTATAACTTTATCACATGCAGAACCTGCTCAATGTCAAGTACATGATTACTCAGCTATTATAATGTTTAGTTGTAGCTCATGGATAAAGACGTGCAAATGACTAGTCAATGGAAGTACAAAGCAGAAAAAAACCCTATTCTATGGCTTCTTCAGAGCAGTCATGTCAGCTTTATTTATATAGCACTTCAAACTCAACGCAGCTTCACAGTGATAAACAGGAAAATAACAGAGGTAATGTTGTAAATTTGATCAATGAGGAAACAAATTCCATTTCAGCAAACTAGGGATAAACATGACTCTTTTGAAAAGAGTAACATATAGTTTAGGAGACTTTATATATGAAGACTAAAATGTTGCTGCCAATTTAAAGCAGCTTTGGGAACAGAGCTTTTCTATTCTTCAGAAATCCACAAAAGACAACATGAACAAACAGCACGAAGGTAAGTAAATAATGACATAAGTTTCATATTTTGGCTGAACATGTGTTCTTTTATTCCACGTGTAAACAAAAGCAACAAGTCTCTACAACGCGCTTCAGGTGAGTTTGCTGCACCGCTGACTGGACACTGCACACTTTTCCCACAACTAGTTTATAAATTGCCTTTGGGACGAAATGTCAGACGGATCATTCTTTCCAATTGAAAAAGGTCCACAGTAGGAGAAAAGCAATAATGAAACTAGTTTGACAAAAGCAGGAAAGCGATTGGCTCCGTACTAAATCTGACACTCCGTGATTGTTCTGCCACGACTCCAATGTTTCTGTCCAGGTTGGGAGGTCTTGTGGGGTCAGTGGAGGTCATGCAGTATCTCTAAGATGCTTCACTTTTTAGGACACGACCAAATAGGAAGGAGAGATTGGTGAGTTGAGCCAAACTACATTAGCCCGGCGAGATCAGACGAGATATTGAGCTTTGGAAAAACAAATCTTGTTAGGCGTTGTAAACTGCCGTCAAACTGAATCAGGGAGGCCATGCTGAGAGCGGCATTCCCACAATGCAATTAAGACTCTCGCCACTTCATCACGCCGCACACCTGATGTTCCCCGAGCGCTCTGCCACTGATAGATATTAACGGTGAGCCCAGCTGTCTGAGAGGAGCCGTCTGATGTCAGATTACATATGCTTTTCATGGAAATGACAGTTTTTCCCTTCCAGGTACCAATCGCTGCTGACAGCTTTATCAACACAAGAAGCCATTGGGAACAACTAAGTCAGTGTCTTCTGACCGGAGATATCATCCTGAGGAAAGCGACAGCGCACATGCAATACTGATGATTTTTGAGCGGAACAACATATATCTCGTTTCCGCTGCCTTTCAAACGCCGATGCGATCAAAGCGAAGCGCGTCTGGCGAGCGTGATTTCTGATTAGATTGATGAGACTTCTCAATGTGCAAAACATAGAGACGTTATGTTATCTCACCTGGCCAGGCTTGGCGTCCTCGCAGATTGAAGCCTCGTAAGGAGTGGCGAGTTCGGGAGGGTTGTCGTTCACGTCCAGGATTCGGATGCTCACCGCCGACTGAGACGACATGGACTGGTTATCTGAGGGAGACAGAGATGAAACAATCATCATGATGGACGAGAAGTCATATGCAGTTCTAAAAGTTTTTAAAAGGAACAACATGTAACTAAATTACATTAGTGTAGGTCAACTAATGACGTGACGGCAGGTTCAAGGTCTAGGAAACACACACAGAAGTGTTACTAGTATCTGTATCATGTGCTGTTTCTATATAAAAATGTCGATACAATGTAAAGTATTTGCTCTGGCTCTTGTTTTAAATTATTTTGTTCCATTATTATGCTTGTTGTTGTCAGCTGTTGATGTTGTTGTACAAGCAGAATGTGACGATTGGTCGGTGTGGTGTTTGTCCCGCCCCTCCTCCACTGTGATTGGACGGCTGGGTAAAAAGTGACAGTAATGAGCATAGATATCATATAATAAAGGCTAGATGTCTTACGGCGGAGTCACTTCCGGCATCACCGTTCGGCCATCTTGTCACAGGCAGGCTCTGATGTAAGGTGAGTGATCAGCATGAACACAAATCCTCTTATCTCGCTGAAATCTTGACGGATTTACAAACGGTTTGGTTTCTTACAAACGTTATTAACATGGCTATGATTCTGAATGCTTGAACATATATGTTATAATTATTCATATGTATGCAGTGTCATAACTACATCTCTGACGTTTATAACAAACCATACCGTTTGAAAATCGGTAGAAAATTGAGCAAGTTATGGTTATTTAAAATTACATGCACCATTAAAACACAATGTTACGAGTGAGCGAGCTGCCTGTGACAAGATGGCCGCCAGGTGCGGATGTCGACCTCCATTGGCCAGCAGCGCGGACGAGACATCTAGCCTTTATTATGGATATCTATGGTGATGAGCGCTGCGTTTTACCCAAAGATGAACATTCTTCAACTCTCTGCGACCGGTAAAAAACGCAGAGCGCTCAGTGTGAAACAGACGCAAAGTGCCTCGTTTGCACTTGTTATATGCTCATGGCTTTTTAAAAACGCGGTGCTCCTATTGAAAACAATTGGAAAAATACGCCAGCCACGTGAAAAACAACGCTTTGGTGGACACAGGGCACATGAGTCACTTTAGATAAAGCCATCTGCCAAATGCACACACACACATTTACATATATATATATATATATATATATATATATATATATATATATATATATATATATATGCTACAGGTTTTTGACCAGTGTATTATATATAAGTATATTTTGGCAGATTTGTTTCACTTTTCAAATATAAACAAGTGAATAAAATCTGCTAGAGACAAAAAATCTGTATCTATGTTTCCATGAAGAACCTTGAATATCCTTGGAACCTTTCCATTGAACAAAAGGTTATTTTTAGCGAAAAAAAGTTATTTAGATTTTTAAAATGTTCTTTGCATTAAGAAAAAAATAATGTTCTTTTAAGAACTGTTCACTGAAAGGTTATTTGGGGAACCCAGATTGGTTCTTCTATGGCATCGCTGTGAAAACCCAAAATTGTGAAAACTTTTATTTTTGTTCATTTCTTAGCTTTTTTCCCCCTTCTTCTTCTATTCCCCCAGTAAAATATCAAAATAACAAGATAAAGAGAACTTTAGGGTTCTTGCCTCAATATGAAAGAACCTGCCAAACAGGTTCTATGTAAGGAGAAATGTCTTACATGACGTCATAGTACTGTACTTTCATGGTTAATGTGGTATTTTTGTAGTGATTAATTCAATGCTTAATTCTTACAATTTAATTCAAATGAAAAAAACGAATTAAAACAAAATGAATCAATTCAAATTGATTCCATAAAATGATCTAATGATGGGACCCCTAAAAGGTTCTATATATGAAGCGCCTGACAGAACCTTTTTTTTAAAGTGGCATCAGTTACAATGGAATCACAATTACAGGCAACAATGTATCACACATTTGAGACATGGTTGTCATGACAATGGCAGAGTTTGCGATGGCCACATCTGTGAGATCCAGAACAAAGCAAACCCACCACTGCTCTCGAATTAACACCCAGATTCTGTTATTGTGTCCCTGCAAATAACAAGTATAGCACTCGATTCCACTGAAACTGTATTTTGCATGCATTTTTAAGGACAGTAAAACTGAAATCATCCTCTGTGAGTCACTGACCTGCACAACACACAGGGTGTGCACTTTATTAAGTCTGCAACACCGCCGAATATTAAAACAGAAGCATTGAAGTATGTCACACTACTGGACTGCCATCACAGTTTGTGTCTGAGGCACTTTTACAGTAATGATATTCTGCCAGCAGTGAATTCATCAGGAATCGAATTCTTCTGCAACATTTTTGCAAAAATTTCAATTAGCAAGTCAATTTCTAGGAGATGAACAACAACATACGCAGAACATTTTAATGATAAGAGCACACCGTTTGGGGCTGGCATAATCATATAAACACAGATACATGGATTCAATATTGGGCTGCAATATCCTTTTGATCATGGCCTTATTAAGCTACAATACAATGGAAATATTATTGGGAAATATGTACATAATTAGTTCATATAAGTAAAATGATCTAGTAATTAAAAAAGCTCTCTGTGTTGGGTGCGAAATTCTGTGCTTCATTATTTCATTAGAAATGTTTTAATTTTCATAAGAGATGCTTCTCATCACCAGCACAGCAGGCCATGGAGAGGGCCAGTGTTTTCATTGTAATGAGACATAATTACCTTTTTTAATTAACACAGCTGTAATGCTTGTGTTTATTTGCAGGGATGTACAGTAGTCCACGCATGTTATGTTATTTAGCATATGCAAATGAGGTCTATGCTAATTTAAATATGCTGTTTCATTGCCTTGTTTTTCAAGCCTTGCTTATGCATTATAAAACACAAACACATTTGTAAAGCAAAAATACATTTCTGGAAGTCAGCAAATTCACCCCAAAATCAAAAGAAAGAAAAGAGAAGTTATTTTATAATAATGATATTATATATTATATCTAATGCATGAAAAACAAATAATTGAACAAAAATAAATGAACAAACAAATAATTTGAAATCATGTAAATTGTTAAGTGTTCATCATGGTGTCGTATTTATTATATTGCCTGATATTTTGCTGATTTAAATAAAAAAAAGTCAAGGAAAAATAATGAAGGAAAAACAAACTACTAACAAAAAATGAACGAACGAACGAACGAATGAATGAACGCACGAACGCATATCAAATAAATACTTCAACTAAATATAAACTGCAACGTATTCATTCAGGTGGTATTTCATTTATTGCCTGATATTTTGCTGATTTAAATAAAAAGTGAATTTGAAATGAAGTCATTGTCAATCATTTCATTGTAAAACATTTTTGCTTTTGATTCTTTGGTAGATTTGGACATGTTTTCAAGAGAGTCACCCAAATACACCAATGGAAAAAGTGAGGAACAGATTTCACGTTTTATTCCCCTAAAGCAGGCAATACTTTCTCTGTGCTTATAGAGCACACATCAGATCTAAATTCATCTACCGATGTGTGTCTGCGATATGAAGAGAAGGGATTTGAGTAGATTACAAGATGCAGGTCTTCTGCTACCTGCCCAGCAGATGTTGGACGGCCACATATCTTCATGACATATTACCAGTCAGGTACTATATTAGAAAACCGCCACTTCAATCCTGTTGGAAAGCATGTGGACGGAGCTCGGCACGCGAGTTACGAGGAAATGAAGTCTTGTGGGGAATGGCAGTACAGTCAATCCAACAGGACAGGAGGGGGATCATACATTTCTATCTCAACAATCTTTGTCTCAAACATGTAGACGGCACAGCAATATACACTGATCGTCAGTAACAGCAAATCTTAAATGACAACATGATGATAGATTTTTAATATCAGATAGAGAAGCACAATACAAAAACATTTATTTGCTGACTTATATCTTTATCAATGCACTGGTTTGCCTAATGAGGACCTGTTATGCTTTTTTCAATGTTCATCTTTCTTCAGTGTGTAATGTTGCTGTTTGAGCATGAAAAAGCTCTGCAAAGTTCCTACAGTTCCTAGAGTTATTCTCTATATCAGTGTTTCTGTTTCTGAACTCCTGAAACGCCTCCATTGTAGTCTCGAGTTTTATTCCGGGAACGAACACGTCACAATATTCCTCATTTAAATAATTCATACGTAGAATAAAGGGGCGGAGCATTTCCCAAACACACTCAAAGCGCTTGACCAATCACAACACACTGCTCCAGCCGACCAATCAGAGCACAGTGTGCTTTTCAGAAGGAGGGGCTTCATAGAGACAGGAACTAAACAGGGGTGCGTTTCCCAAAAGCATCGTTAGCCAACTATGGTCGCAAGTTCCGTCGTTATCAGCAGTTCAACGAGTCGATGTTTCCCGAAACCATCGTTCCAACGAACATTCGCGAACAGCACCGCAAAGTTGTGTGTTTGAGCGACAGATCTCGAGCTGTGGTTAGAAGCAGTTTCTAGATTGCATGACATGTGGACTTAATAAATCCTTATCTTGAGCAAAATAAGCAAGCTGACATTCAGTGCAACCTGTGTCTTTTATTTAGATACATACAAATGTGTTTGACATCTCTGAGTTTGTCAAGATATTTAAAGCACAGTTTATGAAGAGTGCGCATGTGCGAACGTGCTCTACTATGTAAGAACGAGTCTATGATTGAATCTGGAAATAAAGCGAAATAACAGAGAAAAATTAGAAATATTCCTCAGATGCATGTCTGTAATATATATCAAAACATCAAGCATTAATTCGATCTCAAACAGTTTCATTAAAATAAGTTATTACTCCATCACGTGTGTGACGTCATAAACCAAGATGGTTGAACACCACTTTGCGACAATATGGTTTCGGAAAACAGTCGTGACTAGCTAGTTGATTTCTTCAACGATGCATCGTACTGTGGTAGGTAAGCAGCGAGTTACGGCGCTGTACGGGAAACACACCCCTGAGCGTTACTGACAGACTGGAAGAGAGGAGCTGCAACAATGGAGAATATGAGGGTGTTTTTTGAACAGAAAGCCCAAGTCGAGCCCAAAAACTAAATTTTAAGAAACTAAGACTTGGGGCATAATAGATCCTCTTTAGCTTAATAGTGTGGAGGGTTATTGCACATAGATCTAAATATAATATATCAAATACTAAACTGAATGAAAACTAAGCATTCTCTTAGTCTTTCATACATTGAAATGAGAGCGAATGCATATTTATGTATTCTTAAATTACATGTTCAAAATGGCCCTGTGTGAATAAGATCCTACATCAGATGTTCTGCATATTGTAAGAACAACATATTTAAACAATGTCTAAATCTTTTTCATGATTCATATCCAGTCAAATGTTTGTCTCTTAAAAAAAAAAAAAAAAAGAACAGAAAAGAAAAGAAGAAAATCAAGAAAAAAGTTCACATTGCCTTTGGTGCATTTCTGACTCATATGAGCTCCAGTGGGAGTCGACTCGCAGCAGGCTCAACCTTCCCTGCGCGCTAGCTGGCACTGAATTAGTATAACTAACACAGACTGCAGACCTATGGCCTAAATATGAAATTAAACTCGTCTTGTTTTATCAGCTCTCCCGGTTGCACTAACCGTGCCTAATGAGCTTCAAATGTTGAGCAAATTGACAAAACAACATCTCTGTCCTCAACCCACGCCAGAAGACATGAGAAGCACATCCAAGAGCTACAGTTTAGGATGAAAGCAAAGTGAATTTTTTTTTACTCCGAATAAGCTTGAGTAATTTAAAATAGTATAAAGTAGGCTAAATTTCACTTTAATAGTAAAAACACTGCTTTATTTTACTGCGTCATGGCCACACGGACAGTGGATGTCAGACACAATAACATCACTGAGCTCGAGTCATCGCTGTACATGAAATGCCTGAATCATGTTGTTGAACTTCATCTGACTCCTCAAGAATAAAACAATCCTCGCCAGTACAGTTTACTTACAAGAATAGACAGACAGACAGACAGACAGACAGACAGATAGATAGATAGATAGATAGATAGATAGATAGATAGATAGATAGATAGATAGATAGATAGATAGATAGATAGATAGATAGATAGATAGATAGATAGATAGATAGATAGATAGATAGATAGATAGATAGATACTATAGACAGACAGACGGACGGACGGACGGACGGATGGATGGATAGATGGATAGATAGATAGATACTATAGACAGATAGATAGAAAGATAGATAGATAGATAGATAGATAGATAGATAGATAGATAGATAGATAGATAGATAGATAGATAGATAGATAGACAGACAGACAGACAGACAGACAGACAGACAGACAGACAGACAGACAGACAGACAGACAGACAGACAGACAGACTTTTCGCGGCAAAGATCACAGACGGCCGCAGATTATTGTTGTTCAACATTCATTACTCATTAAAACACACACTCTTGATCCGGACAAACTCAGCATCATTAGAAAGGTTTAAGACTCCAGCTTCGACCACATATTTGACCACTGTTTATGATTAAACTGATTTGCAGTGACATTCATTTCTTAATTTATGCCAGGAGTGCAAGATAATTAATCTGTAAAGTTCGTTATTTTGAATAGAAATCATCACTCATAAAGCATTCATTCACGTCTTCTCCGGTTTATTTGTGTTCAAATACATGCAATATACAGCTATTAGTCCAATGGTGCGCATATTTGGAGAAATAATGATTAATTATCACATGTTTGTAAAAAAATTCATCATACAGAATAACATTTCTATTCATTTTCCACTGAATTATGCGATCTGAAGAGCTGTCTAACACAAGTTGCCAAAGGGTGTGCGAAAAATAAACTTTTTATCCTCAATGTCAAATGCTGCTCACCAAATCTAACTTAGTTATTTTCATTACAGAGAGCATGAACGCTTTAAATTCAAGAGACATTTAAAAATCAAAAATCATCAATTACCTTTGTACAATAAACTATACTGTGCTGCCACTGATGGCCAATGCAAAATCTGAAGCAAAGCCACGTGTGAGAAGCAGTGAATCACTGAAGCTACCGCTGTGTACTTTGGCATTCTCATTAAAAATGAAGACACAGAGTTTGGCTGTGATTACAGAAGTGTCATTTCTAGTTACAAATAAACCTCTCCGTATTTCTAATGGTCAAAAAGGGCCAATTTTAGAGCAGGAACATTGAAATTGTTACAAATCCAGGGAGAGTGCAGTGCAGTTATTTTTCACTCTCCACACCAAATGTCCTTTCTGTCGAGATAAAGACACAACTGTGTTCATAGTATCTCTTTACCCTAAGGGCAAGACATAATGGTTTTTCCTCTATTTATCACCTGAAAAAGACGAAGAGAGTAAGCGAGAGAGAGAAACCCTGTCTGCAGTTTGATATCTTACACCCTATCAAACGCACAGAAATTATATGTCAGTCTTCTTCAGCTGATAGGATTCTGCAGAGAGCCAGCGCTCTGCCAGACTTTCTGACAGTAAAACTCCAGCCTGGAAGCGTCGTGCCAAGACTTCAGAAAGAAAAAGAGCTGATAACTCCCTCTGGACAGAAAAGAAAATTTCATCCCCTCAAGTCAACTTTTTACAGCGCAAGTGAAGTGCGCGTGTTCGCTTGGCGTGCAGCCGCTTCTGCTACGCCTGCTTTAGTAGGACTAAACCGACGGCCTTGGAAAGATTGAAATTGTATTTATTCCCAGCCAACTGAGGCATATTGAACAGCCATTTCTGCGCATGACAGAGCTGAAAGGTCTTCCCAGATTTTGTCTGAAATATCATATTTACTAATATCACCACCAGCAATGGCGCATGAAACGTTCTCCACACATCGATCTGCAAACGTAACTCTTCAATGAACACTCATTACGTTCTCGAGTGGAGTGTGAAATTTTAAAATATGAATGTACGGGGGAATTATAAAAAGCATTTCCAAACTGGCCACTCGATGCCTCATTGCCCACTGACTCTGATTCCATGTATTTTGCAGTGAACAAGCACAGGCTGAAATTCGCTGGGAATTTTGATTAAGCCGTTGACTTCGATAACGGTACTTTTTTCTTTTTTCTGCAGAAAATGACTTTATTTAGCAGCAAAACCCAGGTATTTGAGTCTGAGATTGGGATTGAAGCATTTTCTACCAACTTTACTGTGGCAGATCTTGACTAAAGCCCAAGATGCAACACAACTGACATGGCAACCATATGTCTCGATAAAAACAAACTGTTCAAAACTACAAAAATGAGATCTGAATGTTAAAAGAGAAAAAAGGGTCACATCTCCGCTCCGCTAATAGATCTAGATGGAAAAAGATGATGGACGTTTTCAACAAGAAATAGTGAATGAATGCCGTTGCATTATATCAAGTGTCTGTATTTGTGCTCAAAAGTGTATTTGTGCATTGTTATTTATTTACAATAAATGACACTTGCATGATATTATATTTTCTCACTGCATGTTATCTAATGCAATGACATTCAGACCATCAGACAATAAACCATTGCGCATTTTTTAAAGTTGATTTCTACATCAATCTATCATGCAAAAACAATCACAATGGGGTTATATATTCTTTATGAACACAATAACTGCTTAGCTCCCTCCGTCCACCAATCTAGCTTCGTTATCTCAGCATTGTCTTTATAAGACACTGTTCCCAGAGTGCTTTGCTAATATTTCCATTATGTTATGAAAATGTTATTTCTGAACGTTCAAAAAGTCCAGTTTTTTAAAAATGTTTTGAAAACTTGTTTTTTTCTTTTCTTGGTTATGCGAACTTTAAAGGGACAGTTCACGCAAAATGAAAGTTCTGTCATCATTTAATCACACAGTGAATTTCTAGTACGGGGGAAAAACACCATGGAAGTCAATGGGGTCCATCAACTGTATGGTTTCTCACATTCTTCATAACTTCTTCTTTTGTGTTCGGCAGAAGAAAGAAATTCATAGAGGAATGGAAAAACGTAAATGACAGAATTTTCATTTTTGGCTGAACTATCCCTTTAATATAAACATTCCATTTGATCATTCTTCAAACATTATTGGAATGTTAATTTCTGAATGTTTATCTTGAGCATTCTGAAGCAAATAGTAGCATTTAAAATGTTAGATGAATGTCAGACTAAAATGTTTCAGGACAAAAGCGTTTCTGTATAAATAATGTATTTGTGCTAACGTTTTCAGAACATTATTACTAGACCACATAACTTTGAACAACCATTCTATTAACGTTACTGGAGGAACGTTTGTTCATAATTTGCCAGAACGTTACCTAAAGTTCTGAGAATGTTCATCATATTTCAGCAAACGGCATATTAAACTGAAACCCATCCCTCTGTTTTGACTTTAAAGGGAATTATTCCTCTGAATTAGATACACAGAATTTAGGCCACTTCGTAGACGACTGAAAGCCGTGCGATTGATGAAGCGAAGTGTACCTGCTTCCACCGCTGAAACCGTGATGTTGTGCCAGCCGGCTGTCTCTCGGTCCAGGATCTTTCCCAGAGTGATAGCACCTGTTACAGGATCGATGTTAAAGATCTGCTCCTCGTCTGTGCTTCTGTCTATGGAGAACCTGGGCATAAAGGACAAATACAGGTTTAAAGAGACATTCACTCAAAATCTTTTTCTTTTTAATAATTTTACTTGGGCTGTCAAGCACTAAAAGAACATGAAAATGAACAGAGCAAACTTTAAGCTGAAAATCTGGACTTCCACCCTAGTCCAACTGAGAAGTGTTTTGGCATACAGCTAAACATGCAACAAATGCAATACCATAGATGAAGAATAACAGGGAAAGGAGGAAATTGCACACTAATGTCATGGTTTGTGACGCTTAATAATGCAACGGTCTATTTGGATACTTTGATGGTGCTTTTATGTCCCTGACAGCAACTGTCACCATCCACTTTTACATCATACATAATTACATACTACAATCAAAAGATGTTACAAAACCCACACACACTTCTCTCCAAATGTTCAAATGCCATTTAACCAAATGTGTTATTATTCAGGTAGCTGCTATACAAATGTCAAAAGTTTAACTAACTTGCAAGATACTCTTCAAACTTTTGCTCTGTCATAATAGTTGTCGAACTGACAGATCAATAAAGAAAGTTGGTGCCAATGTACACTTTAGAAACCCCTGTGACAACACAGAGAATGAACTTGAGTTGGATTTGGAATTGAATTAATAATGTATTTTATATTCCAATTCAGTTTCTGAATTTGAAGTGAATTTGAACTGATATGGAACACACGATGCATATTGCAATTTGAAATTAACTGTATGGAGGTCAATTAAAATGAACTGAAATTCAAATGAATTCATATGATTGCAATTTTTAATTACATCGATAAAGTTCAGGAAAAAGAAAATTAAATTAGATTTAAAAAAAATTATTGTATATAAGTTGTAGTTTATTTAGTTTTAGTTGTGTTATTACTTCAATATAAACTAAACTAAAATAAAATAAAAAAATCCTTGGAAACTAACTGAAATATTTTTTATACATTTTTATATGTATATTTTATTTCAAGTAATAACCCAGACAGATGATAGATAGATAGATAGATAGATAGATAGATAGATAGATAGATAGATAGATAGATAGATAGATAGATAGATAGATAGATAGATAGATAGATAGATAGATAGATAGATAGATAGATAGATAGATAGATAGATAGATAGATAGATAGATAGATAGCACATACACCTAATTGAAGATACAAATTACTTTGAGTTTGTATTCATCATAATTAAAACACTAATTGTAATTTCTAGTCATGAATTGTGAGGACAAACTAGAGTCAGTACTTCAATTGCCCCCTCCAAACAAATGATTAATATTTCATACAGTGCTTTGATAAACCATTCCATATTTTCATCCCATGCGGAATACAAACACCTCTGACAGAATGATGAGGTGACGAAACTCAATGAGGTTTTCGTAATTTTTCACACTGACTCGCTGTACTCACTTCATTTTTTAAGACCCCTGGGGGTTTAATGTCAGCTTCTGCAGTTTTAGACTTTATATGGAATACACATTTATACAAATGAATTCACTTCTTATTTTACCTTATGCTTATTACTCTGTGCCAATAGGTTAAGGCGGCTCTTTGGAAATAGTTAAAGTGCCCAAAGGGAGATGGCAGAAAATAACCTATTAAAGCTGAGGTGGAGAAGAGTCTGAATTTAGTCCGTGGAAAAGATTTTTCAACTACATTATTCTTATTGACTTTTAATGAAGCACAAGTCCAGTGCTGGTTGATTTAAAAAAAGTCCTTGAGTTGTTGCATGTATTAATGTATGACTGCATTTAATACATTCTTCATGTACAGATAAAGAACAACAAAAACGTACTGAAATGTGGTAATGGTAAATATGGAAATGGTATTCCAGCATGGAAATAATTAAGTTTGATTGCTTAGGAAACTAATAGAACACATCCGTCCTCAAAATCAATGTGACCCAAACTTTAAACATTAAGAAAAATAAAATCCTGCTCTACACTGCAACTGCACTGATTTTCTTCCTCTGTATTTTGTCTTGTTTTCCAGTACAAATATCTAAACATCCTTAAATCGAGATACATTTGAGAAGCATAATGACTTGCGATATTAAGACGAAATAAAGATGTATCAAATTTAAGCAACCTTAGGCTTAACACCTAACCAGACGCACTGACATAAGATTCCAGCGACAAATGTCCACACCAAATGTGACACGACTACGTGACGCCACAAAATCAATCCAAAATCACAGCCAATGAGAAGAGCATGTGGGCGGAGTCTCTCTACAACCGCACTGCACTCGCAACCAAATCAATCCAAAATCACAGCCAGTTAGAAGAGCATGTGGGCGGAGTCTCTCTACAACTGCACTGCACACGCAATCAAAATAATCCAAAATCACAGCCAATCAGAAGAGTGTGTGGGTGGAGTCTCTCTACAACCGCACTGCACTCGCACTCGCAACCAAAACAATCCAAAATCACAGCCAATTAGAAGAGCATGTGGGTGGAGTCTCTCTACAACCGCAGTGCACTCGCACTCGCAACCAAAACAATCCAAAATCACAGCCAATTAGAAGAGCATGTGGGTGGAGTCTCTCTACAACCGCACTGCACTCGCACTAGCAACCAAAATAATCCGAAATCACAGCCAATCAGAAGAGCATGTGGGCGGAGTCTCTATACAACCGCACTGCACTCGCACTCGCAACCAAAACAATCCAAAATCACAGCCAGTTAGAAGAGCATGTGGGTGGAGTCTCTATACAACCGCACTGCACTCGCACTCGCAACCAAAATAATCCGAAATCACAGCCAATTAGAAGAGCATGTGGGTGGAGTCTCTCTACAACTGCACTGCACTCGCACTCGCAACCAAAACAATCCAAAATCACAGCCAATTAGAAGAGCATGTGGGTGGAGTCTCTCTACAACCGCACTGCACTCGCAACCAAAATAATCCAAAATCACAGCCAATCAGAAGAGCATGTGGGTGGAGTCTCTCTACAACCGCACTGCACTCGCAACTAAAATAATCCAAAATCACAGCCAATCAGAAGAGCATGTGGGTGGAGTCTCTCTACAACTGCACTGCACTCGCACTCGCAACCAAAACAATCCAAAATCACAGCCAATTAGAAGAGCATGTGGGTGGAGTCTCTCTACAACCGCACTGCACTCGCAACCAAAATAATCCAAAATCACAGCCAATCAGAAGAGTGTGTGGGCGGAGTCTCTCTACAACCGCACTGCACTCGCACTCGCAACCAAAATAATCCAAAATCACAGCCAATTAGAAGAGCATGTGGGTGGAGTCTCTCTACAACCGCAGTGCACTCGCACTCGCAACCAAAACAATCCAAAATCACAGCCAATTAGAAGAGCATGTGGGTGGAGTCTCTATACAACCGCACTGCACTCGCACTCGCAACCAAAATAATCCAAAATCACAGCCAGTTAGAAGAGCATGTGGGCGGAGTCTCTATACAACCGCACTGCACTCGCACTCGCAACCAAAACAATCCAAAATCACAGCCAGTTAGAAGAGCATGTGGGCGGAGTCTCTATACAACCGCACTGCACTCGCACTCGCAACCAAAACAATCCAAAATCACAGCCAGTTAGAAGAGCATGTGGGTGGAGTCTCTATACAACCGCACTGCACTCGCACTCGCAACCAAAATAATCCGAAATCACAGCCAATTAGAAGAGCATGTGGGTGGAGTCTCTCTACAACTGCACTGCACTCGCACTCGCAACCAAAACAATCCAAAATCACAGCCAATTAGAAGAGCATGTGGGTGGAGTCTCTCTACAACCGCACTGCACTCGCAACCAAAATAATCCAAAATCACAGCCAATTAGAAGAGCATGTGGGTGGAGTCTCTCTACAACCGCACTGCACTCGCACTCGCAACCAAAACAATCCAAAATCACAGCCAATTAGAAGAGCATGTGGGCGGAGTCTCTCTACAACTGCACTGCACACGCAACCAAAATAATCCAAAATCACAGCCAATTAGAAGAGCATGTGGGTGGAGTCTCTCTACAACCGCACTGCACTCGCAACTAAAATAATCCGAAATCACAGCCAATTAGAAGAGCATGTGGGTGGAGTCTCTATACAACCGCACTGCACTCGCACTCGCAACCAAAACAATCCAAAATCACAGCCAATTAGAAGAGCATGTGGGTGGAGTCTCTCTACAACCGCACTGCACTCGCAACCAAAATAATCCAAAATCACAGCCAATTAGAAGAGCATGTGGGTGGAGTCTCTCTACAACCGCACTGCACTCGCACTCGCAACCAAAACAATCCAAAATCACAGCCAATTAGAAGAGCATGTGGGTGGAGTCTCTCTACAACCGCACTGCACTCGCAACCAAAATAATCCAAAATCACAGCCAATTAGAAGAGCATGTGGGTGGAGTCTCTCTACAACCGCACTGCACTCGCACTCGCAACCAAAACAATCCAAAATCACAGCCAATTAGAAGAGCATGTGGGCGGAGTCTCTCTACAACTGCACTGCACACGCAACCAAAATAATCCAAAATCACAGCCAATTAGAAGAGCATGTGGGTGGAGTCTCTCTACAACCGCACTGCACTCGCACTCGCAACCAAAACAATCCAAAATCACAGCCAATTAGAAGAGCATGTGGGTGGAGTCTCTCTACAACCGCACTGCACTCGCACTCGCAACCAAAACAATCCAAAATCACAGCCAATTAGAAGAGCATGTGGGTGGAGTCTCTCTACAACCGCACTGCACTCGCAACCAAAATAATCCAAAATCACAGCCAATTAGAAGAGCATGTGGGTGGAGTCTCTCTACAACTGCACTGCACTCGCACTCGCAACCAAAACAATCCAAAATCACATCCAATCAGAAGAGCGTGAGGTTAGAGTCTCTGATAAATTCATAAATATTACACAATATTACATAATAAATGTACCACACCGCAAAAACACTGAAAGAATACTTAATATTTTTGTCTTGTTTTCCGTTCTTCTTAATCCGAAATTCTATAACATTAAGGAAAATTAAAAGAAGAATAATGTGAGGTAAGAAAAATCAACTTGGGGAAAATGGCTATTTTCACTTGTTTTAGGCAAAAATTCCCTTGTATCTTGATATAAGAATGTTTAGATATTTCTACTGGAAAACAAAACAAAAATGTTTTTTTTAATTATTTTTTTTCTTCAGTGAAGTACCAATGTCCCTCTTGGAGCTCATAAAAAGCCACAGCCACAAGGAAAACAAACACATATTTTCTGTCCAAATAGCAGGAGTGTGTTTTCCAGCAGGTACAGTGCTCTCTGAGGGCTCGGTCCACCCTGTGTCCCGCTGGTATTGGGTGGTTCGGGCACGAGAGAGAGTGATGGGGCTCTGGGCAAAGCCCCTGTTTGCTAGCCCAGTCCAATGGAGATGATTAAAGTGGTACCGATGGGCAATGGCTCCATGCCATATGCAGATGTGTGCCAGCCAACCAGCCGAGTTGCTTGCCACTGCGCTGTGCTTTATAACACCTGGAGCACTTTGAGCGCAGCCTCATGCATTTTTAATGGAGGTAATTTGCAAAGGCTATGTGTATGTGTGCCAGAGAGACTATACGGCCAGCCAAAGCCTTTTACTTCCCTTGTGTGTCACCTTTGAGCAGCAGCAATGAGTAAATCATATTTCTGTGCGCTGATGGCTCTGGAGAATAAAGAGCTCTATCAGGATGTCGAATTGCATGACAAAAATGCAGGGCGGGCATATTCGGTAATAGCAATTCAGTTGGCATGCCTACAGACCACCCGCAGCGCGTTCACTGACCATCTGATGCATTTACTAAGATAGAAACAAACGCTAATTTGGTTTTAGACTGGTTTTACGCAAGTTCCTCAAGTAACGACATATACAGGGTTCTTTATCAATCTCCCCGGACGCAAATGATCATTGCCACAGATTAACTGGTTAGACGTTAGAGTCATCAAATATTGAAAAGCAGGTTTTAGTTTGTGCTAGAACACGACGGACCGAACACCACTGGATCCAACATCAATTTCAGTGGATCCACCACGAAAATTATTGACCTGTAGATTATAAAATTATATGACCTGTACATTTAAAACAATTTTTTTTTTTTTTTTTTAAATCTGATTAAAAATAGCTTTTGTTCATTGAAATAAAGCTAATATAAAATAAAATATAAATATTAAATTATATATATATAAAATTTAGAAATTACAAAGGTTTGCTTCAGAAAAAGCAATAATTGTTATATATTTTTTTTTTAAAAGGGGAAAAGCCAACAAACTAAAATGAAAATATAAAAATAAAAGCTAATTAAAAATATTAATAAATACTATAATTGTATGTAAATAATAGTAAAATAATACTGATTAAAAAATCAATAAACAAAATAATTATAAAGTCTATGTTACATCTTATCAGATCACAGAAATTCTATGAACATTTTGCACGGTGTTGAAAATGTTTATATTTAAAGTAAAAAAAAAAAATTATGATAATAATTTAAATCAATTGGTAAATCAATGTTAGAAGTCAGTGTAACAACATTATAATCTACAATATGCAAGTAGGAAAAATATTTATAAAATAAAATAAAAATAAAAAAATATTTATATTTTCAATACCGATCAATGCTTGTGTATCGTCTGATATCTGATATGAAAACTATATATTATGCATCTCCATTTTCACACACAAAAAAAATTTTCCATTCTAGATTGTATTGCAGTATAATCAGTAAAGTAAAGTAACCCGCTCCTTAAAGGCATATAAAAACAAACTTTGGCCGATCACTTTACACGCCGATCACGCTGTCTTTTCCTGCATAAGTGTGTGTGCTTCTCGGCCAGAATACGCTGCAGTGTGGACCAGACTTTCTGCCTCGAGTCACAGCTCTGGAAACGCAAGACTACACAACAGCAGACAGAGAGTTTTTGCGATTGAGCAGACATCTGACATGCTTTCCAAGGCCTTGAGGTAAAGGAGCTTTTCTAGACTGTGCATGTGTGTTGGTAAAGAAGGATGGCAGGTTGATAACTGTGCGTGCCAAGGTGCCCATAGTGTGATGGGAAAAGCCTCCGGCCAGCGAATTCCAAGAGCCACACTTTGTTACGCTTCCGTGACTCGGTATATCTCCAGTAATAGGCTCTTCAATGGAAGAAATTGATCCTTGTCTAAACTAAGAAGAAGTGGACTGTGGCCAGGGTGTGAACACACACACACGCACATAAACAAACTGTTTTGCCTTTTCACTTTATCTCATTGAGGCTCACAGTCACTGAAGTTGTGCATTGTGATAAAATAGCTGATAAAGCATGGTGGCTGCCAGGCTTAATGATGTATTTAAATTCAAAAACCCTGTAAGATCAATAGCTGCAGAGCTGTGCAACAAAGTTTTGCCCATGCAACAATTTTTCTAAAAATGTCTGGGCAAATTACTACTAAATATTTAAGGCTGCAGTGTTTCTTAACGTGATTTATCCATTTATAAACAACATCACAATCACAATCAGTCAACATAAAGCATCTGCAACCCATTTCAGCTCCTTAAAGTGACATATTTCCAAATGAAACCTTACTCTAAATGATCGAGGAACATCTCCCTCATGTGTAAATACGGTTTATTTACGGGCCACACTGTACCTGACGGGGACGTTATCCATATCCGGATCCTTTGCAGTCACAATTCCCACCAGCGCACCCATCCGAGCGTCTTCCTGAACCTCCATGACGGTGCCGGCCGGAGGGATGAAGATGGGAGGCTCATCCACATCCGACACGCTGACCCTCACGATGGTTTGGTCCCGGAAAGACCCGAGATCCACGAAACGAGGGTCCACGTGTTTGTTTACAGCCTCTACGACCACATTATGTGTGCGCTTGTTCTCAAAGTCCAGAGGCTGGAAAGAAAGAGACAATAAGAAACTCGTCAGGAAAGGATGAATAACCTGTTGTACTGCAATCCTTCTGTCGTCTGATTGATAGTTTAGACTTTTTAGCAAGTAAAAATATTTTTAGTATAATTGTACAAACGTCCACCTTCAGCTCGTGCTTCACAAGTCTTTTTGCAGTGAAATCTTTACTGATTTTTTTATAAAGTAAACATAAGGATAACTTTTATGTTGTTAGACTGTAAAAAATTATCGTGATTTTAACGGTAAAAGACTGAAAAAATGCTACAGTGCAAAACTGTTAATTGGTTATCAGAAAGGTTCCTTACTATATACGGTAAATAACTGTAATAGATCTTATGGTACATTTAATGTAATTTTACTGTAAAATACCATTAGATTTATAGTTTTTGGAAGTGGAAAAGAACAACTCATGTTGTTAAATTAGTGTTTACTGCATTTTTTTTATTTCATGTGTGTTACCATGATGGTGTTTAATGTTTGTGTGAATGACACTGTGCAGCTTCAATATAATAGTATTAACCTTCTTGTGGAAGATTGCTTGTGATGAGCTTTGATTGATCATGTGACTCTCATCACGGCTGTGATTGGTGGTTTGCAGTGTATTACAATGGTACAAAACAGATATTAATACTTCAATATGTTGGTAAATTAACATTATATCAGATAATAAAATACAGTTTATTACTGTAAATTTTAAGTTAAATCTGTAAAACCAATAACATTGATACCATATTTTTGACGGTAAAGTTCTGGCAACCACAGCTGCCGGTATTTTACCGTAAAAATTATGTTTTATTTTTTACATGTTTCAAGATGAACACTTACTTGACTGAAGCAACTTCGGTTAATTTGATTACCCATACATAATTTTTTAGAAAAATCATGAGTATCAAATATGATCATCAGGCTTTTGAGGAAGGTTTATTTATTCATCTTTCAATCATCATTATGCATTGCATTATGTTTGAAAACTACAGAGCTTTGGTCATAAAACTAAGCATTTAAATATCATCTTACTAAGACATATTATTTGCAGATAGACTGATATTTATATGCATTTTATGTAAGTAGTTTGTTATAGTGTTATAAAATTCATTAATTTACAAGCTATCAGAATTTCATCTTACTTCTTGACCATATAAATATCAACATCTGCACCAAATTGCATATTTTTGCTCAGTTTGGGCCTCTGAATAAAATTTTATTAATAAGACCTCCATATTTTCACTAGCTACAATGTGAGCCATAAAAGCCTGATATATCAAATGTGAAACAAAACATAAAACACATATGCAAATTCGTTTTTTTTTTGTTTTGTTTTTTTATTTTGTCTAATGGTTAAATAAACAGTTCAACTAAAAAAAATCCAGACTATAATTATTTTTCTATGACAGACTTTTTTAGGGTTAAAGAAAAACAATTAATAATTTTAAATACTTTTTTCGATGTAAGATTTGAAGTGCACTTTTGTACATCTGTGCACATCTGTTGAATCACCGCTTGATGTTATAAAACAGTAGTTGCACTGAACATCAGAAAGCACACACACACACACAATACGGGCACATGAAGGGCAGGACGACCTTCAGAGCTTGAAATGGCACGACGGAGAGGTCTTCCATCTACCTTTTTGATGGTGATGACGGCCTCTTGTGTGTCTCCATCGGTCGAGACCCTGAACAGCTCTCCCCCCTCCTCATCTTTGATCAGGTAACTCATATCCGTATTCTCACCCATGTCTGCATCTGTCGCGATCACCCGGCCAAGAGGCGTCCCAACGCCCGCACCCTCAGAGACCGAAAACTGATACATCTCTGTGAGGGAGAGACAGGGCAAAACTTTCATATCGGTTACATTCATGCATATTAGGACTGAAAAATGCAGAAGAAAAAATATTTAAAATTTGATGATATTTATATAATAAAATATAATACAACATATACTTTCTACGTATGTATGTATTTGATCTAAATGAATTAAAAACGGGATTTTCTTCAGTCACAGTAAAAATCTAGTTAATGTTTTTGTACCATTTTTCACTAAATGAATAAGTCAATAAAACAATAAGTCAAATACACCAGTATTTTATAAACCCATGTTGATTTATCATTAAAGGAAGCAGTTCGCCTAAAAAGGAAGTGAAAAAATATATATTTTAATAATTTTATATGCACCAATATAGCAGTAGCAAAATTCCTCCCCGAGGCTGCACTTATTTAATCAAAAATAAAGTAAAAAAACAGATATATTGTGAAATATTATGGCAATTTAAAATAGCTGTTTTCTCTGTGAAAATAATTTAAAATGTGATCAAAGCTGATTTTTTTATCATCATTACTCCAGTCTTCAGTGTCACATGATCCTTCAGAAATCAATATGATGATTTGCTGCTCAAGAAACATTTCTGATTATTATCAATGTTGAAAACAGTTGTGCTGCTTCATATCAGGATTCTTTGATGAATAAAAAGTTCAAAAGAACAGCATTTATTTGAAATAGAATATTTTGTCACAAAGAAATAAAGAAAGTCTGCGTATGTAATCATTAAGAATCAATTTCTCTGGAGAACATGAGTGTGCCTTTCACACGCTGAAGCCGACTGTCGCTCTGTATTTACTCTGAAGCTGTTTCAAGTACACAACACAATGACAAACCTCACTTTAATAAGCATCTTGGCCTTACATAATGTCCATATGTAATATGTTTGAGTGCAGTGTGTGTCATAGCGGAGTATAAAGATCTCAGTTTGGCCCACAATGCAAAAAGCAGCTTAATGAATTAGATGCTACAGCAAAACTGGCATAAATGAGGCTTTTGTGGAGAATGAGAGAGGAAAAAAAGAGGAGAGTCATCGAGATATGGAGAAAAACAGACACTAGGGCATGCGAGACAGTGTTACAGCGAGTCTCTTTGCTGTAATAAAGCTAATGCTGCTTTTCCTCTGGAGGAAATGGAAAGAGAGAGCGGAAGAACAGCAGAAAGGGGAAATAATACCCGAATGTGTTTCATTGCTCTTTATACGGTGTGGCTGCAAACACACACACACACACACACACACACACACACACACACACACACACACACACACAGTCTTGCTTCCAGACATGAAATGTATTAAAGTGTTGCCCACATGGTCGGCTCTGATGTGAGCAATGAGACAAAGTGCTTTTTATTTGTCTGAGCCTGTGATGTGTGTTACAATCCACTCTATTCAGAGCCACACCTCACGCACTACAAGTCAAGCACATATATCTGTCAATTGTATATATACCTTTGAGAATGTACTGAGACAGCATTATATGATTAATTTTTTATATATAATCCAAGAAAATCAGGCATTATGATGCAACACTGGGAGCACAAAATTCTACATTAGTATAATAAGATTTAGTCTCCCAAACTAACACAAGCTATTTTTTATTTTTATGAAATTAATACTTTTATTCAGCTAGGATGCAATAAATTGATCAAAAGTGACAATAAAGACATTTATTATGTTAGAAAATATATAAGATATAATAAGAAAAATAATAAGAAATGCAGCAAATCATCATATTAGAGTGATTTCTGAAGGATCATGTGACACTGAAGACTGGAGTAATAATGCTGAAAATTCAGCTTTGATCACAGGAATAAATTACATTTTACAATATATTCACATAGAAAACAGCTATATTGAATGGTAATAATATTTCACAATATTACCGTTTTTACTGTATTTTTGTTCAAATAAATGCAGCCTTGGTGAGCAGAAGTGACTTCTTTTAAAAACATTTTACAATCTTATTGGCCCCAAACTTTTGAACGGTAGTGTATATTCAGATATATCATGTAACAAATACATTTTAAAAATATAATAGCCTAGATAGTACAGCCTCACACATCAGATAATATCTACCTAAAATCAACAAGCTTTATTTCTAATCAGAAAATCCCTGCCAAAAAAGTTATTTCAGTCAGTGGAATTATTTCGGGCTGCAAGATTTGGACTGGGGCTTGAATGGTTCTGGCCGAACACATCCGCCTGACAGGCTCTGACGGGACGTTTGATAGACCTTCGGAACTGACAGCAGAGCTTTAGTGGCGTCCACACTGACAGCCATTTACAGCAACAAAGAAGCCATTCGTTTTCAATCAGAGTCGGCCATTTGAAGGAATATAGCGACCTCAAAACTTCTGTTATCAATTACTCATCCTCACAAAGATGATCTTGGATACATAGGAACTGGGACTGTCAATCTACAAACTGACAAAACAGCACCATAAAAGTGACAAAATAGCATTTATATGCTATATTTCAAGTCTTCTGAAGTCATACACATGCTTTGTGTGTTATGTAGCATTGTAGTAGCTGGTCATGGTAAATTCGTGTCTGATTTTTGAATAAATCGTTCATTTGAGTTAAATATTTTCCATTGTATCAATATATCCAGTTCACATAACTAGCCTAAATGATTTGTTCATGATTCAGACTGATCCAATTCTTCACTGACTCAATGAATCAGTTCATTACAGAGAAAGATTATCAATCAATAACGACTGCAACTATTTTTTGCATATGTATTTATGATAGTTTTATAATGATTTTGCATCTGTTTCAAAGCTTGAAAGCTCCCAGTGTCATTCATTGTAATTGCACAAAAAAAACCAGGACTAGCACATTCAAAATATCTTGTGTTTGTTGCCTGAAGAAAGAAAGTCGGTGAACAAATTCTTTTAAACAACTTATACCATGGTCTGTCTGAATACTTGGTTCTGATTGGCTGGAAGGTGCAATAAGACCGTTTAATGCACAGGTAGTTCCGGTCAGTTTGATCACTGTTCTATATTAATATTAATGCACTGTTAACAAGAATGTCCTAAAGGTTGCCTCTCCATTACTGTATGTTTTGCTCCACATAATGTGTGCAACAGTTTTATGGATAAACTGCCACTCATGCTAAGTCTGATTGATTATTCTTAATCATAAAGTTTATATGGTAGCATTTTACAATAAGGTTTTACGGTAACACTTTATTTTACGACCCGCAAACAACTGCGTAAGTAAACCGAAATTACGGTGTACGTTTCTGTAATTATAGTGTACTTCCGTGTAGGTATGAGGGAACAATATGTTAAGTGTTGGGTAATAAAGGGGTAACAAGCAGATATACAAGCAAATTATTTATAATGTAATTATGTTTAAACTAACAGGTACCTATTCTGTTAATATATTCCAGGCAAAAATTGTACGTCTGTTGTATATAAAAGTTATCATCACATTTCTGGCAAAATATGTACAGTGTGATTTCAAGATTATTTCTGTTCTGTTTACAGTTTGTGTTGATGTAATTTCAACATTGTGATTGTTTATTGTTAAACTTGTTTTAATAAATGGTTTTGGTTTAATTGTGCTTCTGTACTTTTACAATTTAGAAATTTGTTGATAATGCTAATGGTGAAGCTAGGTTTGTCTGTTTCAGCATACTGGTTTAATGTTGTACTTACCCTGTAACTACACAGAACAAGGAGGTAACAAGCGCCACTTTAATTTACAGCCCGCAGGAGTTACACTTACCCTGTAAAAAACATAGTTGAAACGGGTAACAAACACTACTTACTATGTAACAATACGAAACAACACTATTCGCACAGTAATTACAGAGAAAGGTAGGGCCTACTCTTATTAAGAAAAAAAAAAAAGAAAAAAAAAAAAAGTTTTAATTACACAGTATATTTGCCCTGACATTTAAGTGTCATTGCAATACAATGTGATAAGGTAAGTACTAAGTACTACATGGTACGGTCTAAATTAAAATCATAGCAGAAACTATTTTTTTGACTTAACATTAAGTAATCTAGTAAGAAAAGCCAATAAATTCAATTTTTATCATACTGTGCTTACATACATTACAGCCATATATATATATATATATATATATATATATATATATATATATGTTTGATTTTCAACCCACAGATGTCACAATTACCCTGTAACATTGCACAAGAACATATTTTGCCATAAATGTGATGATAACTTTTATATACAACAGACGTACAATTTTTGCCTGGAATATATTAACAGAATAGGTACCTGTTAGTTTTAAAATAATTACATTATAAATAATTTGCTTGTATATCTGCTTGTTACTCCTTTATTACCCAAAACTTAACATATTTTCCCCTTATACCTACACGGAAGTACACTATAATTACAGAAACGTACACCGTAATTTCGGTTTACTTACGCAGTTGTTTGCGGGTCGTAAAATAAAGTGTTACCGGTTTTACTTGTTAACATTAGTTAACTAGATCATTTAACATGAACTATACAGTATACAATACTCACAAATCATTTAATAATAATACTTTTATATAGCGCCTTTAAAAGTTGCATTCTTAAAGCGATTTACAGGAACATCAAACCACAGCAAGAAGAAACAAAACACAAAATATGAAGGATAGATAGATAGATAGATAGATAGATAGATAGATAGATAGATAGATAGATAGATAGATAGATAGATAGATAGATAGATAGATAGATAGATAGATAGATAGATAGATAGATAGATAGATAGATAGATAGATAGATAGATAGATAGATATTTAACATTCCATAATGCATTTTTAAAATCAAAAGCTAGTTTATGCATTAGTTAAAGTACTGTGAACTAACAGGAAACCATTTTTCTTTTTTTTATACTAAAATTTTTTTTTTTACAAAGCTTAATAAAAGTTTTACAAATATATTGCTCATTGTTAGTTTATGTTAGCCAAGACATTAACAAATGAGACCTTATTATGGAGTTTTACTCATTTTATTAAACTTTATGGCCTGGTTTCACAGACAGGGCTTAGATTAAGTCAGAATTAGGCCTTAGTTCAATTAGGGCATTTAAGTAGCTTAAGTAGTGCCTTAGAAAACAACATTACAGATGTGCGCCTGGAGACAACATAATGGCACCGATATATTTTAAGATATATCAGTGCAAGTTGTTTCAGTTAAAACAGCTCAAACATGCATTTAGTCGGGACTAGCTTAAGCCTTGTCTGGGAAACCGGGAGTATATCTTTTTTGTAGGCCTGGAAATCACAACTTTCAAATTCCAAGGCCATTTTCCTCAGAGCCATCATAAAATGTGATGGACGGCAGTGCTGAGAGACATAAACTCGACCCAAAGGACAGGGCTGACGGCATGCGGTTGACTGGCGTGCCACATAACACACACTCACTCTGAGGGAAGCGTGGAGGGTTGTCATTAACATCCGTGATCACTATGGTCACAGTGGTAGAACCAGAAAGACCACCCATTTGGCCCGCCATATCCGTTGCCTTGACAACCAGCTCATAACGGTCCTGCGTCTCCCGATCGAGATCCGCCACGGCTGTCCGGATCACTCCTGAAGCCAGAGGAAAGAAGAGAGAGAGAGAGAGAGAGAGAGAGGCTGGGTAAATGGGTGTTGAAAGGCCACACGAGCAACGTTACATGCTTAAAGCCACTAGTTCTTCTTCTTTTGCTTTCAGCATTAACTTCAGATTAAAGAAAATGTTATGTAATTAACGTGCCGTTTGGTGTTTTCAAATATCAACAGCGTTTCTCAGAAATCACTTACTGCACCTTTAACCAGTGATTAACATTCATCTCAAAAAAGACCACAGCATCTTGACATTAGTTAATAAACAAGTGCATCAAAGTGCAACCATAAGACAATAATAAAACTATTCAGAGAAATAAAGCTGAAAGAAAATAAAATATAAATATTTTACTTTAAAAAAGTGAAAATTAGACCTGTAGCCTTGGCAACTAACTTTAATAAAATAAGTACTAAAATAACCTAAACCTTAATGCAAATAAATGCATAAATCTTGAAAAAAGGCTCTTTTTGTGTGTGTGTGTGTAGCTTTATTTATTCAATTAATAGGAAATTTCCATCAAATTGAATTGAATAATCTTTATATATATTTATGTGATTCGTATTCATAAAAAAATGTTTAAATTTAAGTTTAAGACTATACAAAATGTTTTATTAAAGGGGTGGTATAATGCCCTTTTCACAAGATGTAAAATAAATCTGATGTCCCCAGGGCCGGATTGGGACTCATTTTCCGCCCTGGAGTTTGCCTTAGACCGGCCCACTTTAGTTCCCGTCTGACTATATTAAAATAATGTAATTGAAACCTCAGTATATAAGTCTGCAATAGTGCAGTGTTCTGTACAGCCTTGTTATTCATTGTATTTAAAAAATAAATAAATGTCTATTCAGTGCAATAGCTGTATACAGGGTTTTATAAATACAGAGGTCCGAAAAGTGATCTTGCTAGGGGGTTCGGGGGCATATGCCCACCCAGACAAGTGAAGTAGGCCTAATACAAACAGTGAAAAGTCCCAGTGCTGATATGGGGAAATATAAACACATTCAAAGTATACAAATATATATATTTATACAATAACAATGGCAATATATTATATATGTGCTTGTATTGTTAAAATGAGTTTATTTTTACACTGCTGATCATCATTGGCAAAGAACATATGTATGTCTGTGTTAAATAGGAATCCATTGTAATAAAGTTATTCTCATTCTGGGCACAGTATGCAATAGGCTATTCCTCTCTACCTGCTCTCATTTCTCATCTCCATCTTCTCTCATTCTTCTCTCAGTCTCTATATCTTTAGGTTACCTGTAAATCTCCCCTCCCCAAAGCTGAGTTTTGATTGATACAGTCTTCACAAACTGATTATTTCTTTCGGTCGTTTAAAACTTTCGTAATTAAAACAGCTGTTTAGTTTAGCCACTTGCATCTTATCTCGTGAAGCGCCACGTTTGGATTCGCTCGCGGCCGCGGCTCGCGCTTCTGTGAACATAAATCCCGCTTGCTTTGATCGGTCATCTCAAACATTTTGCTATTGCCAAGGAGCGGTGTTTGAATACGGAAGCAGCTCAGATTATGAGGTCGGTTATCGTCGCGATATGCAGCACCAAATAAGAGTTAATATTAGGCAATTATTTCACAACGTTCATTATACACTCAGAAAAATATACACTCAGAAAGCTGTGACTGGAGCCTAATGCATTCAACCCAGTGCCATGACAACACCGGCCCTCCTGGTGCTCCCGATTAGCCAATCCGGGCCTGGATGTCCCCAGAGTGTGTATGTGAAGTTTTAGCTCAAAATACACCACAGATATTTTTATATAGCATGTTAAAGTTGTCACTTTTTGAGGGTGAGTAAAAACACACCGTTTTGGTGTGTCCCTTTAAATGCAAATGAGCTGCTGCTCCCGGCACAGGGGGCGGAGCTTCGATTACCTTCTCACACACATGCACTGAAAATTTCAAAAACTTTTAGCCTTTTATGTTCAAACCAGAGTCAGACAATGATGGAGAGAAGAAGTGACAACATTTAGAGCAACAGGACATTTCTGAATGGTTAGTTGATTAATTTATGTAGCTTATGTGTAGTTATCTTCTAGACATTGGTTAGCATATTCTGACTTGATAATCTATAAATCGCGTTCGCGGGGGCGGGGTTTATGTAAATTTTAGGGTTAGTGATGTCACTAACCCGGGAGGAAGCTCGTGTAGTTCCTACCAGCCGTTTGTTGCAGTCCTTAAAAAGCCATTTCTGTAAAAGAAAATATCTCCCTTTGCTTTGAACTTTGCAGATGTTGTTTATGCTCAAACAGCAACATTACACAATAACTAAAGTTAGAAAAGTGACATCATAATCAACCAGACCTTTAAGCTCTAGCTTTTTTACTAATTTAAAATGTTTAATTCATAATTTGAATAATATGCAATATGCATTCATTGAAATGCGTAAATCTTGAGTGTAAATAGAAATCTTTAAAAAATAATCAAATTGATAGAAGCGCATAAAATGACCAAAGCTGAAATTAAAATTAAAATGAAAAAGATTTAAAATACTAATAAATGCTATAATAGAAGGCTATATAAATAACACTAAAATAAGGCAAATTAGAAAAGTTGCCATAACAACTAACTTAAATAATATAAGCTTAAGTTGAAGTACTAAAATTACTAAAACTGAAATAAATAAAAAAGCTAAATAAAGAAATTAAAAAAAATGACAACAACATTACTAAAACTTAAGCCAAAATTAAATAGAAAACTGAAAATTTAAAAAGCCAATACAAATAAATGCTAGTAAATAATACTAAAATAATTGTTAGCTAGATACAAATATCCTTTAACCTCTTAACCTTCTCCAGAGCGTCGGCGCACTGAAGCGTTTTTTTTTTTTATTTAGTTCAAATATACTATCAGATTTAATGTTATACCTTGAAAAACTATACATCATTAAAAAGATATAAGACTCAAGATTCAGTATTTGACCACTATTGTATTCTGAGAAACTTATAGTGACAGTTATGTCTTAATTTGTGTCAGGAGTTATGAAATGAAAAAAACGAGTCGATACCTTTAATATGAATTATGAGCGTCAGCTGGTCCATTCATAAAAAACACTCCGTGCTGTCGTCATGATAGCGATTCACAAAACAACGTCCCTGAGGGCTTTTAGCTCAACAATGTGCAGATGTGGAGAAATATTGATATATTCTCATAGATTCACATCATATTTCTATAGACAGGAATAATATTTATTGAATTTATACCCAAATGCGTCGATGTAATCATAATGATCGCTTCTTACTGAGATGTGCTGTGTTTTCCATTCATACCAATAGCATGGGGGCGCTATTATGTCCAATAAAAGTCCATATATGTATCATGAAGAAGACCCATAGTCATGTGACATTCCAGGACGTCACTGAGTGATACAGAAAGTACAGAGATCGCTGTAACATGCAGATAAAGATGTTTTGAAGACAATAAACATGATTGCAATGATATTTGAGTTACCTGTGTTCTTCAAGCCATGCCAGGTATTTCATAATAATAGATTATATTTATAATGTAATGCTAATCGATATAGATTTCATCATCGTTCAGAACACTAAATAATACATTTTCTGTCTGATTTTTTTTTTATCTGAAGCCAAGTTAGATCACAGAAGATTATTTAAAACACTAGACTTGCGTTATATAGTGAGTTTGGAGCGCAAACATAGTTTTAATCTCATAAATGGTCGTGTATTGATGGTGTGCTAAGCTAACATGCTAGCGAGCCCAGGCGCACCTGCCACGAGCAGTTATTGTTTTATGATTTTTTTCTAAATAGGAATGCTTACTGAAATGATTCAGTGCATTTGATACCAGTTTCAAATATTTAGTGAGAACTTTGATAAAAGAAATTAGGGTTTGAAACCCTATGAATAGCTTGTGAATAGCCAGTCGTTAGTAGCTATAATGCAGACAAAAGAAATGCATATTTAGAGCCATAATAACCAGTCTGGAGAGGTGTAAATGTGTGCAGGGGAGACTGAGACTGAATGGGGCACCACAAAACAATAGAGACAATAGACTGAATAGATGACTCAGAAGATGACTAAACATCAGTTTGCTAATAGAGTCTAATCAAAATAAAGTAATTTGACATGATCTTGAAAAACATTTAACTAAATACAGAGCTTTATACTTATCATTTTCAGATTTTAAATATAAAATGGTCAGACATGTGGCTTTAGCTGCAGTGCATTTCTAGATTGCTCCAGGGCCAACTTCAATTTTATTTTCATGAAGATGTTTCATAAAAATAAATTTCTAATAACTTTACAAAACTTTGAAGCTATTTAAAATTGTTTTTTTCATTATGACAATAATTAATTCTACATTTACAATAAACAACCAAGTGTCAGCTTTCAAATGAGATCATACTTGTGCTTTTAGTGCAAAGGGTTCATGAACTGTATCTGTTTTAGTTTGGGTATGTCATTTCTGGGGATTTTTCAAAAGTGGGCTTGAAGCTTAACAGGTTAAAGAGACAACTGTCTGACAATATGAAGTGTTCACACCGATTTTTTTCTAATTCACACCAAGAACCAAAATGTTTTGATAAAAAAAAATGACGTAATGTTAGTCGGACTGCATTTGGTTCTGTGTAGAAATTAGTGCAGATAGAACAAGCTACTCTATCAACAGGGATTAAAAATCCCAAAGCTGTGCTGGTGATTTCAGCGTGTCTTTATCTCTCACTCATCTGTACTGTAACATCTGCAACCGTATCCTGCGGTTTGACTGACAGTGGTTTTTAGTAGTTTGTCACATTTCGTGTCAAATTCGCTGCATCCAGTCGAGCTCCTGTGACATCAGCACAGACGAGAGAGCGAGGAAAGGTTATACGCAACAGGTTGTGCTTATCTGTTGCCACCATTCTTGGGGGAAAAAGGCGAATTTAGATTTTTTCCTCGATGTGAAACGAATAAACGGACCAACGCAGCAGGAGTGTCAGGCTGGCGTGTGTCCTTTACCATTC